GGCCATCGCCGCTCCCAAACCTTTTACAGGAGACAAGAGAGGCGAAGACCTCGACACTTGGTTGAGGGCGGTGCCAGTCTACGTCAGGTGTAAACTCACCTTGCCACACGAAGAAGTGCTTGTGGCTGCTTCCTACCTGGAGGGTAGTGCAGCGAGATGGTTGAGTGGGTTAGTGCAACTCCAGGGGTACGGTCACGACTTCCGCTCTTGGGCAGCCTCTCAAAAATTGGAGGACTTCCTGAAAATGGTGGAAGACAGGTGGCATGATCYGCAGGAGGCTCAAAAGGCCACTGATGCGATTCTGACATTGCACACGCGGCAGTTTAAGTCAGTAAGGGATGCCACCGACGCTGTRGAGCGTTTGATTTGTGTTCCAGGGGTACGCTATGACCCCCAGGTCCTGCTAACTTCKTACCTGAGGACCTTATCTCTGCCGCTCAGGAACCAGTTGGCGAAAGAGGCCAACATTAATATGCACAACTTTCCTTCGTTCAGCAAGGTGGCCCTAGACCTAGAAGCAAAGATAGGGCATGGACAGGCACCCACTACGGAAGGGAAAAAGAAGACACTGCCTCCCAATTGGAAGGCGAAAGGTCGCACCATGTTTGTCGACAACGATGGATCAACCATCGAATTGGACGGCAACTTCCAGGAGGGAGTAGGTGCAGAGGCAGGCGGCGATACTTCAGAGGGTGGAGTAGTCGCCGCCGTAACCCAACAAAAAGGTAAAGGGACCGGTAGACGCCCTAGAGGATCCCGGTCAAAGAGTCAAACAGACCCCAATGCTCCTCCATGGGAGAAAGCGGGTCTATCTGAGGACGTGTGGAGAGATCGGTGGACACGGCAAGCTTGTATCAAGTGTGGCCAATATGGTCATAGCATGTACAAGTGTCGCAATAGGAAGGTCACCGAGAAGATCCCGCCCACTATGGGGTCGGCGATAGGATCCTCTCAACCCGTTGGTAGCAATGTTGCCAGTTCGTCAGGCTCCGGGAAACACGTCGGGCCAGTAGGGATAGTAGTTGTTCCTACTAGGGTCGCAATGGTGGATTCACCCTCACCTTCGCGAGATATGGCCCAAGCTACAGACTCTTTAGTCGTCCCGCAAGCACATTCAGACCAATCGACCCTCTGTTCGATGAATGTGTTTGAATCCTTAGAGGAGTTAGAGCATGAGTGGTCTAGATCA